AACATTTTAACCCTCGAGCGACCCCCAAATGCCATTTTATTCAAACTTTTCTAAAAGGGCTCAAAATGACCCTTTATCGAGAGAAAATGGGTTGAAATGCTCAACAAAATTATTCCTCGTGTAATTTTACTGTATGTAATCAAACTATACATTTCGTAATGGAAAACTTCTCATATGCTTTATACATGGATTCACAGAAAAAAAATGGACCTGCCCCTATTGTAGTTAGGACATTCATAAGAAGATAAACTTTGGCAAATTAAATGAAATTACTTGTTGTTTATTTTTATTTATATAATTCGCGTCATGCAAAAGTGCTTAATGTTATCCATGAATAAGACATACTTTACGTGGTGTGCAGTTCACGCTGAAGAGATATATATACATATAGGAGAACAACGGTCACAACTCGAATCCCTGATGATAAATTTAATTTACCAAAAGTTTAACTTAATGTAAGAATATTGGGCCCCTTGCATAAAAAGTCAGCTGAAACTCGAGACTCTATTTTTGCACTGATGGAGTGAGCTCAAACTAAAGAATTTGTACTGAGAATCGTCTCGGAGCTTAAGCCCGCTTTTTATGCAAGAGGCCAACAATAATACCCCTGTTGCCGATATTTCCAACGATCAGATCTCAGGTTGGTAGCATTCGCAGTCCAAGCGTACACAACCGCTCCCTACCAAAACGGTAAAGCAAATAAGAGTTACAATCTTAGGCCATTACAATAAATAGGAATGCCTTCTGGACAGACTCAGGGACACCACAGCTTACAAGCGGAATCCTAAGTGTTAGCAAAATCCAATGGGCTACTACACCTTTCCAACCCCCGTATTTAGATCTACTCCGGCATTTTCGACCCAACTTCAACATACGATGGAACGCATCAAATACTGGTTAAAACACTAAGACAGGTAGGGTCCCCACACAAGCTACCTTCCGAGCTGGAAATAATATTTTTATCCACAGCCCAGCACATCTACATCATCTATGGGCTCAGTAATTGAAAGATCACTTGAAATTTAGGAAAATACCCTAAAAAAAATCATTGGCATAGTAGGAGCTTTTAAAAATCTTGGTGACCCCACAGTGCAGATTCCTATCTCGGGTTCTATGAGTTACATGGACTAATCTACTAAAGCATCGGTTGAAGGCAGATGAACACAAGGTAGTTATTGCCCAGCAACATTCCAAAAAAAAAAAACACTGCGCTTGTTCTGATTTCGCAATATATAGCCATTATTTCTATGCAAAAACCCTCGACAACTTTCGATAAGAAATATAAAGTTGTGATACCAATACTACACGACTGGTACAGCAGAACCCACCATGTGGCTGATGTGATAAACTTTTATGGGAGTTTGAGGAGTTCTTTCACCTAAACTGAAGCAAGAGACGATCACTGAGTTCTGCTCAAAAATCTACCGTCTCTATTATTTAACTAGACCTTTGAACGGCCACATTGTATTGCATTATAATATTCAACTCATTTAGGTGCTTGCACACCGGGATATTGGGGGAAACTGCAAAACTTACGAACTAAAAAAAGTAAAGGTACCACCATCCACATCCTTCTGGGAAATGACACGATGGGTATACCACCAATGGCAATCTTTTAACAGTTTTTTATATCACACCATTTTAGAAGCCAACTAAGGTTGGAACATCCATAATTACCTGGCCTTCCTGCAAGATAAAGCGCACATCGGACATTAATCGTAGATGCATGAGCATAGAAAAAGAAAAAAAAATGCAGACTTTGTATGTCTTTTTCCGCGCCTTAAGCAGAAGAGGATTGCGAATGCTTCGCAAAAATTTCTTTGAAGAAATTGCAGAGATCTTAATAAACTTGTACAGTTTTCTCTTTCCATTCTTTTCTGTACTTGTCGCAATAGATCTTGTATTTCCTTTTTGATCGACGTCATCCATGCTTCTGCGGTATATCAAAGAACGAGCAAAATGAGAGATTGTAGAGCGCATCAAATTCGGTACATGCACCCCACCATTTCTTCGCCGCAACATCGATTGCGTCATGATTGGAGGTTCAGGATCTTCGCTATCTCTACAATTTTTTGGCCATACGTCGGAGTGGTTTTACTACAGCTACCCTCTCTTTCTGCCCATGAATTGCTCACGTTTCCCAGCGTGTGCCAACGTGGACGAAAGGGTAGAATATGTATAGTCGAGGCACAGTAAGTGAATACCTAAATGTCCCACTATACCCCATCGCAAGTATAGACTTATTTTTAAAATGCTCTTCCCGTTAGACGTCGCTGTAGTTGAGGTTTTAATATTCTCAACCACAGCGCCAGCTCGCAGAGAATTTTTCAGTGTATGCAAAATGTTTTTTTATGTATTTTTTTTTGCAAATTCGTAAAAAAAAAATTTGGTATATAGAAAATAATTAAACTTTGTCCTAAACGCAGAAAAATTAAAAAAAAAAATTCTAAAAAGTTTTAAGTTAAAGAGAAAAACTCAAAAAAATTTCATAAAGATTTTAAACTGTTCACAGCTTTTTAGAAAAAATTGGGATTATACCTACATATATACAGTTTTGTAGCGCAACACCGTTAACAAAAAAACAAATACCAAAATGCAACGAGATTTTTCAACAACTTATAACCAAAATTTTTGTAAAAAATCTGGTAGTAGAGTTTACAATTTTTATGAAAATTTTTTGAGTTTTTCTGTTTAATTAATTTTTTGAATTGTATGTGTTTAGGGCAAAGTTTAATTATTTTCTATATAAATTTTGTGTCGTAAAAAAAGTTTACAGTTTTGCAGAAGGTTTAAAAAATTTGATTTTTGTTTTTTTGCGGTATCAACTACATTTGTATAAAAAAAAAAAATTAATACATTGTGAAGAATTCTCTTAAAGAAATCCTTCCCAGTGCATATCGTGACGATCACTTATGAACGGCCAAGTGGCCTAACTATAGAAAATTGTTCCAGAAAAAAAAATAAAGGGAAGGTCCTGATTTACATTTATTAATAAACAAAGGTTACCAGAAGTTAAAACATTCTTGAATGCTAAAACGGTTCTAATTTAAAAAAAAAAATAATAAAAAATAAAATATTGAAATCAATTTCATTTTGTAGGTAAGCTGCTCTGACCACATTTCCTGCTTTGCAACCCACATTTAAATTTCAATATTGAATTTATTCCACCTTGTACTTTTGATCAAAACATTTTATTATCATTATTTAATTTATAAATTTATCTACTCACAATAAGGTGTAATAATAACTACACAATGCAATATTATTTTTTTCCATTTGCTTTTTACATACATACATAGTTAACATTTTACATATCTACACACATACATTTATTGGCATATTATTCTCGTTTACTTTGTCATATTTAAACTAAGTCACATTTACTTGTAAAAAAATATTGTAAATAAAAAAATACGTGAATACATATACACATACATACAAATGTATAACAGTTTACTTACACATATTTACATATAAAAAAAATGCAAGCGAACGCTAACAGCAGTAGCACCGTAACTCAGTAAATGCATATGCATTTAAGACCTCAAATATGAAGTATGTCGGTATGAACGTGAGCATACATACATACATAAATATATGATCGTATTCATAGTAAATGCGGTGGCAGTCGGCGTATGCAACACTGCACGCACTCGTGTCATAAAAACAAAAACAAAAAAAAACAGAATTAAGGCAGTTTGTGTTAAGCACAGTGGGTTAAGAGTTATAAAAAAATAAGTTAAAATGTTCTAAACAGGGAGCGCAAATAACGGTTGTTAAAAAAATAACAATTTACATTTTGGTATAAGTTAGAGCTGCTATTTCGGAGATCACCACATCTGACTTCTTCAACTGGGATTCGATCCAACGACCCCAGCCGTCAAAGCCACTGAGCTAAGTTCGCCATGTAAGCTGTTTTTGCTTTTTTCCGCTTTTTTTCTCATGTGTTAAGCCAACTACAATCAAGAAAAGAAAATTAAGCCTAATAGTTATCTTTACTTTTTGCTCAGAAGATAAGAATTAATTTTTAAGTTTTTATAAAGCAAATGTACACAAATGCTGCAGTTCTGAAAAGGAAACTACTGAGCTTTATCACCAAATCCGCTTTGGTGTTATTGCCACAAAGAAGAAAAAGAACGCCACGTAGAATGGGCGACTGCGTGGATAGTCGGAAGATGGGTGCGTTCAACGTTTAAGACCACTGTGAAGGGGGATCGAAAAGAGAGAAAGAAAGATGCAAGGACAAAAACAAAGGCTAGGGATAAATACAACGGTACAGATGAAGATAAGGATGAAGATTATGATGGCGATAAAGATGAAGTTAAAGATGACGTTCATCGTTGAAGACGAAAATGAAGATGAATATAAAGATGTTGATGAAGATGTCATCTGAAGTTGAACATGGAGATGAAGTTGCAGTAAGTAAGTTGAAGATGAAAATGAAGTTGAAGTTGAAGTTGAAGACGAAGATGAAGATGAAGATGAAGATGAAGATGAAGATGAAGATGAAGATGAAGA